CTAACGGGCTTGAAATAGCGTGACCTAGAAGATTGAAAGCCGACAGGATGTCTCAGTCTTCCTTTGAAAGGATAGGTGACTCAGCCTGGCCCTGAGGAGACCGTTCACTTTCGTGAGATTCCGGTCTCTGTGTGGTGCGCGTTAGATGGTGGCCTTAGGTCATCTCGGCCCGGCTCGTGCAGATCAGTGACACATGAGGCCGGTGAGAGAAAGAAAAAGAGAGTGTGGTAGATCGATGCATCACGGGTCCAGTGTTCTTTTAAACCAGCAGGACACGCTACCAATCCTGACTCGAAAGATTGTCAGCTGATGAAGTCCAGCTCAGGTCTTGGGGTCAGACTGCACTAACTCACAGATGTTGCTGTCATGACAGCTCTCTCCAGTGGGAGTTCCGGAACTCTCGCTTCCCCCTGAAGACCGATTCCTGCGGAGTTAGCAGTCAGCACAACACACACAGAGAGAGAAGGGTTTTTAAGCGTCATCAGTCCCTGCGCCTTCGTTCATTCCTAGTTGGATTGACTTTGTACTCTCGCGGTGGCTTTGCTAGGAGTAAAGTCAAGTTTCTGCATCTCAACAAGGCTCTACTAAAAACAAAAATGCGTAAAAAAACAGTAGTAAACCTTTTGTGTCACTAGGGGATCTCGCAACTCGCGCCGAACGAACTGTCTTGACTGGCTCGGAGCTGAATAGCTAGGACTCTTGAAGTACACCAAGTATGTAGTCATTGTCTTGTGTGATAAGTTCGGTTTCATTGGAATTGAATGCAGGGCTATATCGTGTCGACTGCATCGTGAATTGTAAATTTGCTTTCGACATGTGAATTTTCGGCCACCCACATCTGAAGAATTGTCTGTTTCTCCAAAGTTCCTGCGCCATGTCCCCTCTTAGCAGGCAGTCAGTTTTTCGGCCTCGTCATTTTGCGTTGGATGATAGCCTCAGGTCTGTGTGTGCTCTTCACCGCTAGTGAAGTTTGTTGGGGTGGTTGATGTCTCCCGAGACTTTCTTTGCATAGGTGTGGCCCCACTTATATACCAGTGCCATTTGATTCGATGCCTTGTCTGGTTTTGCCTACAGCAGCTCGAGGTTACGTTAATCAACTAGCTACAGTGAACTTCAAAAAATCAATCCGATGTCCTTAGGAGATAAATTTCTCTATTTATTAGATGCTTGTTTTTTAAAACGAAATACTTATGTGCTCTCTGTTAGTTTCCTCAAAGCCTTGTTCTTTGATCACCGCAGTCTTTGCGGTAGATCGGATCAACACGGATATTGATCGACCTGCACCCCACGTCTCCGGTATTGTATTATATGCTAGAGAAGGCGGCATTGAGATCCTCCTTGAATTACAATACCTGGTTCACTTTAGGAATTAAGTGATGCCCAACTAGATACATAAATACATAGATTTCTTGATGAACCTCATCAATCGCTAGCGAAACTCACTCGTCCCGTTCGGCTTTTGGGTCACTCTCGAGCTCCGCCAGCAGCCACACAGTGACTAGTAATGCGTGCAGATGGGCATTGATGGCACAGGCAAGGCAGACTGGAATGGCCATTTCTGGCTCATTAGCCGTCATCAGCCAGTCACTCCCAGTCCCAGGCGATGCACTACCCTAGGTTCGAACCCGCGAACTTTTGTTCAGAAGTCCAGCGCTCTAAACCCTGAACAACGGACTCTTTATCTTGGGTATGGCTGTCTGTTGATGGCTAATCAGCCAGAAATGGCCATTGCAGTCTTCCTTGTTTTTGTTGGCAATGTTCATCTGCCTTCGTTACATGGATTGTTATAACGGGACGAGTGATTCTAGAAACCAATCTAACTACCAGATCTTAAGAAGTAAACAACGACTCGTCATTAAAGTCATCAGAGACCTCATAGGTAGTAGGCTAAACTACGTGCATTTTAGGAGTATACTTAGCCGAGAGTCTTAATGTCTACATGCGTAATCTGAACTTTGGTCATCCAAGTAATGAGCGTTTTATCGCTAACATCTGTTAAAAGTGTTAGGTGGTTGGCGAATTGATTGTTTCCAGACAACTGTGCTGCGGCGTCATAACTATATCCTATTAATTCTGCCATCCGTCTTTGTTTCTGTCCCTAGTCATGGGTTGAAACAAGACTTAAAGACCCAAACTAAAAAGCCCGTCTTCCGACAATCGATTCGTTGTTTCTCTATTAGGAAAAGTTTCCATTAACATTTTAAAAGTTCACTGCACTACTTGGTTCGTGTTAGTTAGCAGCCTCGATTGACTGTCCCTTTTAGCTTCTCCCAGAGTCCGTCCGCTATCTAATTGCCGCCAATCGATTAGAAGAAGCCCAACAAATTGTCAATAAAATTGCAAAAATGAACAAAAAAATTCCAATGGAAGGGAGACTGGTCTCGTCAGAAACTTCTGTAAGTCGCTAATTTCTATTTTTATGTTTTCAACTTGGAGATATTTAAATGTTTTCCACTATAGTTACTGCCTTACTCACATGTGTGTGCATTTTCACAGTCGAGCTGTTTTATCTGGACGAACTGAAGAACTCAAGTTTAATTTGATTATTCTGTGCTATTATATCCCTGGCCGAGAACTGAATTACTCTTCTGCCAGATCGTCTTAGGCGGCAGTAGGCTTTAGTACTCCCCTTTGATTAGGGAAATACAGTTACCAATAATTACCCATGTGTTTGAGCATTAAAGACCATTAACGTCGATGATTCTCGAAACTTTGTAATAGATCCCATCCTATTGTCGCCTGTTCTGTGTTAGGAATTATAAAACGGCACAACTCAGCTCATACTTAGAACTTTATGCTTTTTTCTCGAATGAATTTTCTCTCGAGCAAAGATATTAAAGGGTCGCCAGATTTCCACCCTCTGCGCTCAAGGTCGTTGTGTAGGACAAACATCTGCTAATAATGACATTTTAGTGAGAATAACAGCAGGGGTGCATGTGTGTCTTCGACGGCTATCTGCCAAATCTTCATTGGAAGACTCTCCCTTTTTTGGATCTCGTATACCGTATTTTCCGGACTATAAGGCGCGTTTAAAAGCCTTTAATTTGTTATTGTGAATGCGCTCAATACAGTTTGATTGACTGACTGACTTATCTAACTGCTTTCTTTCCCTTAATGCGCCTTATAGTCTACTGCGCTTTATATAAGAAAGAAGTTCGAAAATAAACCATTCGTTAAAAGTGTGCCTGATGGTACGGAAAATAGGGTACGTTTACGCTAGCAAGCCGATCGGCAGGTCCTTTGGAGATGCCAGGAAGGGAAGAGCCTCTAAAGGTGTGTGGTGATTGCAACATACGCCGACTCGAATATCCTTCCGCCCTCAGGCATCGGTTTCCTCGCATGCACCCCGCTACGAACCTTTCAGCTAACTAGAGTATGGCCGGTCTGTATTACCGCAAAGCCGTCACTCATGCACACAAAAAGTCACCGGATTTTTATGATATCACTAAAAGCACTTGTTGGTGTCAACAGATTATTTCACTTAGTAGTGCTCAGCTGTCCTTCGCCGTCGTTTTATCGAAGGACGCAAACACCTAATCAGCGAGACAGCTGGTTTTTTTGAGGGCCTTATGCAACTGTTTTATCACTTATAATGATTCGCAATTCGAAGAGAAAATATTTGCTTTTGTGAGAAAACTGCATATTTATTCGGCAAGGTAACTGGTTTTGGTATAGACGGTGTACGCAGTCTGTTCGCTACCGCCTACGCCATTCGGCCATTGGCTTCTTCCCACACAGTTTGTTGTCTCCTGTGTCGATAGAGCGCCCGTCATTAGTAATTAAACCCTCTTCAACAGATCTTATTTGCGGATTGTCGATAGGTGGATACAATTTTATAGCTGCTGTAGTTTATTCTGAGGTTTCCTGCTAGTCTCACCTTGGAGGTATAGGTAGATTAGAGTACCATTACTCTTATTCACAGAGGCGGCATCTCTGTTGCTGAAACAGCTACAGCGAATTTCCGTGAAACCGTATTGAAGTCTATATTAAAACTGTAGGTTAATTGCTAGGGGATCATAATTTGTATTGCACTTATCCCTGAAAAATAGCTATGTTTGAATTCCAAGAAACGACTATCTTCAAAGGTTATTTTATTCGTACTGATTTATTTATTCGTTTTGGCATGAACAAACTTTCTGCACATTTAAAACTTAATTTTCCTCAGTTCACAGATTCTTGGCGTTTTCTAAATTTTCCACTTTTCTAAAAGACGTTGGTTTTTCTAAACAACGTCGTATTTATTAGATTAACATTGCCGACAAAGACAAGAGAAACTGAAATTGGGCGATGCGCCACCGGGAGTTAGGCGGATTATGACGGCTAATAAGCCAGAAATGGCCATTCCAGTTTCCCTTGCCCTTGTCGGCAAAGTGCACCTGCCTATAATGCTAGCTGCTATGCGGCTGCTGTGAGTGCTTGAGAAGGAGCCCCGGGACAGAATGGTACAAGTGAGTCCCTTAACCTATAAGTGAGCATTCATCCGCCAATTACTTTTAGTATATATATTTTTGTAGGTTTTAACTCAACTTAAAGTCGTTTATTTTATCCCGAAACTTTGGTCCACTCGATTTTGCCGAATTGCGACTGATAAGCAATCCCTCGTAACTTTCGGCACTCTGAATGAAATAGATCACATACGGTAAATGTTCAGTCATAGCAATTGGGACCCAGAACGTATCCCCCCAGTGTCGATAGACGAAAAGCCTGTGGCCAACGTTGGAAATGTCCTAGTTGTTGTTGCTATGGTGTGACGATATCCGACAAGGCCTCCTTGAGGTCTGGTTGTGTGGTAATCATAAGGACAGGTCGGAATCTGACAGATTTCCTTCGTGCGTCCTCGCCGCTTCTCTTTTGGTTTTTCTACGTGGGTGGCTTTGAGCGTGACAGCTCACATTTTTACTGTCAATCAACATGCCAACATAGCCTGCGCGAGAGATTCCCAGGTGTCCCGCTTTATTCAGTGTGCGTCTGAGTTTTTATGTGCAGTGACACTTCTTCATTGTCCTAGTGCTGAAAAATAACATTGACGGGTCCGTAGTCTCTGCGGCGTTCACGCCGCACCTTCTTCGGAACGCATTTCTAAAAATAGGTTTAGCATCATGTCATACGATCAAGAAGATCGCTTCCCAGGATTCTAGGTATGAAAGTCCCTTGGTGGTTGTTTCAGACCTCTCGGGTTCGCAAGTGTTTTAAAAGTATTTGATTATGACACCTGTCAATTCGTATTTCTCTTACTAATCCCGGAACAGTGAAGTCAATGTTTCCCAACGCTGAGCGACAGCGTTTGTGTGGACTTCTGTTGGGATCGATTTAGCGGATTGACCCTTTCCTTTTTTATTGGGGCTTGACTGTGCGGTAAACTTCTATTTTTTACTTGCATACACTTACAGTTAAAACACATGGGTAATTGTGAGCCGTAACCTGTCTTAATTACAGCCAACCTTTTATTTTTCTCATGCTCACATAACCCGAAAGTTGTAAGGATTACTTATATAACCTCTAAAAAGGAAATGGGAATAGGAACGTCCTCTCAGAGGTGGCAGTTTGCAGAAGTCCAAGAAGCATAAATTTTATGCGCAAATATTTGAGGTCCAGATATCTTATCGTTTTCATCATCCCCCAAAGAAGACGAAGAATAAGATTCAAGGAAGGGACCGAGTATATTGGGACTGACGTTTCGGACACTCGCTTGTTTCCATCGTCAGAGTAACGCTACCTCA